AAGGAAGGAAGGAAGGAAGGAAGGAAGGAAGGTCAATAAGAGAGGGTCCTGTGGGAGCTCCAGTAGCTCAGTGTAATGACAGCTGCATCTCTGAATTTAAATAAATATATATATATATATATTATCCTGATGAACAAATACCTAAACTTCAGTATATCTAAACTTCAAAGGTATAAATTTATCCATATTATGAACTCTGGGTACATAGAAGGATTATCCAAAACTTTCCAGTGAGAAAACAAGATTAGTTTTATCTGATATTTGGTGACTAATAAAGGTTATGATATTTAATTATAAAATAAATAATAGTCCTGAGTAAATACTTATGCTTTGCATTAGATACAATGGTTATGCCTTGTAGGCCAAGAAGGACTGAGAAAAGAGCAAACATCCTCTATTAAACCTGAGCCAATCTCCTGAAGCAAATGTCTTTGTTTGCATTCCATTTTTTCAATTCATAATAATTGCCCCCAAAGATGAGTTATGCAAGGTGTGGCTAACAGTTCAGCAATCTGCCGGGGGCATTAACAGAGTCAATAAAGTTGGTGTGCAAGCTGATAGGTTGCATAAGGATGGAATAAAATGCATTTTATTTTATTTCATTTTATGGGAGAAATGATGGCACTCACAAAGCTTTTCTACTGAGATTCTGAAGAGATATTGGAATTGTGTTAGAACAAACTCAATAAATTCCTCCCTCAGAAAAATCCACACCCTCCTAGGACCCAAACCTTGACTAAAGATTCTGGCTGAAAAGCTTACTGTCTCCCCGCAGCGATAGAGGCACTGTAAAGCCCAGAATCCACAGAGTATTGGTTACAATAGTGAAGGGAATATAAGAAACAAAACCTACAGATCCTTGATAGATAAAGTAATTAATATGCTTATTGAGAGACAGAGAAAGAGAGATGCAAATCTGGAAATAATTTTGATTAATTGATTATGTGCCATCAAGTCATTTTCGACTCCTAGCAACCACATAGATAGATTTTCTCCTTAATAATCTATCCCTAACCTGTTCTTTCAAGTCTCCCAATGGTGCACTCATCGCCAGCATAACTGAGTCCATCCACCTTGCTGCTGGTTGTCCTCTTCTTTGTCCTTCTACCTTTCCCAGCATTACAGCCTTTTCCAGAGACTGGAAATAATTGCTAGAATTTAAATTAATATATCACATGTTTCAGAATAATGCAGGAGACTGTGTGACTAGAATGTCTGCTCAGTCTGCTGCCTGGCCAGCAATTACTGTAATGATGGCCACTTCAAGGTCTGTGTCCCACTTTCTTAATATGATTCTTTATCTTTAAATTGAGCAGAGTGATCAGAACTTCAAAAGAACACTTTAGGAGATTGCTATCAGAGAGCCTTTCAGATAGAAGACTGTCCTTTGTAAAACAAGGCCCAAAGTCACCCTCTTGACGGAAAGAAAAGGCGTACCTCCCATCTTGCCTTCACCAAAAACTCTGTCGATACATGTAAACCAAAAGATCTTGAGTGGCTTTAGTTTCAGCTATTCACCTTAAATGTATGGAATGGGTCTAAACATACCAACCTACCTGAGAGATTTAGTTTAAAGATTAGACAATTTAAAAAGCCCTGTGATTTTTGAGAAGTACCACATAAATGCATAAAATATGTCTTCATTGTAGCTCTCTAAACCTGTGTACCAGTCTACAGGTTATAAAGAAAGGTGGATTGTTATAACTGATCACTTGCTGAATGCTTTTGAAATCTGAGTAAGTCCTATGAAATTAGCAAGACTTATATTTGAGTAGATGTATGTGAGATCAGGGCCATCCGAGGAAGGATGGGGTGAAAAAAAGTCAAGAGGACAGACACAAGTGCATGATCATGATCAGCCTCACCTTTTTTATGTCTGCCACCTTCCAAATGTTTGGACTTAAATTCCTATAATTTCCAGCCAGTATGCTGGCTAAGAATTAGAGGAGGAAATCTACAAAATCTGAAGAAGTTGGAAAAGCCTGGTATAAATTAAAAGTACACACATCCATTGTTAATCAGCATTTGACTGCTTTTCACTCCCTGCAGTAAATGTTCACATTTCCAGATTTAATAATTGTTATGTAAATAATAGACCACATTATGCTGTAATTTTCCATGGAAATTCAGATACAGTGGTACCTCGGGATACGAACGCCTCTACTAACGAACATTTCGGGTTATGACCAGCTTCGGCAGGAAAAATTTACCTCGGGTTACGACCAACTCAGGATACGCCCAGAGTCACGGAACGGATTAAGTTTGTATCCCGAGGTACCACTGTATTGCTTTCCTCCAGATTCAAAGATAACAAATGAAGTAATTTTAGAGGATGGCAGAATGATTGATTGACTGATTGATTGATTGATTGATTATGTGCTATAGAGTTGTTTTCGACTCCTAGCAACCACATAGATAGATTTTCTCCATGATCATCTATCCCTAGCCCAATCTTTCAAGTTTCCCAATGGTACACTTATCACCACTGTAACTGTCATCCACCTTGCTACTGGTCATCCTCTTCTTCTCTTTCCTTCCACCTTTCCCAGCATTAGAATCTTTTCCAGAGAGTCAGGTCTTTGCATAATGTGTCTGAAGGAGGATAATTTGAGCCTGGTCGTTTGTGCCTCCAGCGAGATCTCTGAGATCAATTTGTTTTCTTGGCTGTCCACAGTATTCTCAGGAGTCTTCTCCAACACCAAAGTTCAAATCTCTGAGATCAATTTGTTTTCTTGGCTGTCCACAGTATTCTCAGGAGTCTTCTCCAACACCAAAGTTCAAATCTCTGAGATCAATTTGTTTTCTTGGCTGTCCACAGTATTCTCAGGAGTCTTCTCCAACACCAAAGTTCAAAGGTGACAATACTCTTCCTATGGATCACATTAGGCTTCTGGGGGTTTAAGTAGCCCAGCAGATGCTTCCCAGAAAGCTTTGCTTAGAGAACATGGAACTTTGTGACAATTGGTCTTAGCTCAAACATTGTTCTGCAAGTTGAGCAGATGCCAGAAGCCAATTGAGGCTTTGCAATGTTTTTTGCAGCCTGCAGTGCACAGGCCTCTGATTTTAGCAGCTCTCTGAGGATCTTACCCTCTCATTATTAACAATTAAAATAAAATGAAGCTTAATGTTTAAAACAGAGGAAGGCAATCTGGTGCCCTCTAGAAGTTTGGGACTACAACTCCCACAACCCCTTGCCATATAATTAAAACAATGTTATAAAGCAAAATTGTAAAGAGATAGTACAACAGAGGTTCAAACTAATGTCACAGGCAAAATGCCTGTATAAATAAGAAAGTCTTAATCTGCCAACAAAATCTTAATACCATCAGTACTAAGGAAGTGAAGGCATTCCAGAGATAAAGTGGTAACCCAGCAAAAGCTTTTCCTTGTTTCTACTCAACAAACTTTCTCTGACAAAAGAATCTGGAAGAGATCTTAAGGCAGATGGTAATTAGCATAATAATACAAATCTGAAAAGTGCAGCAAATTACAGAAATGAACAAACAAGGGCCAGCAACTCCATAAAACCCCTGCAGCTGTGGCAAAAGAAATCAGCTTTCTCCACATATTGATATCCCAAGCCTTCTCCAAAAAGCAAGATAGGGTGGAAGCTCCCTAGATCTGTTCCACTTTTCCATTCTTTTCATGCCACTTTTCTTAATACTTGTTTCTAGGAATTTACTCCAATAAAGGTTGAAGATACCAAAGATGTGTGCATGTTCTTAGACCCCCTCTGCTCTGCCCTTTTCCCTTGATCTTCCTCCATTTTTAAACCTTGTGAAATAAACTCTGTGCTGAGTGGAAGGAAAGGGGAGTATTTAGATTACACAACCTAATAACTGAAGGTATCTCTGTTACATTTTATTTATTTGTTTGTATAATTTATTTAGTAGATTGCTGAAGCCACTGACTGCTGAGAACTCTTAGCAGTTTACAATAGCTCAGGGAGTTCCTGAAGGTGATTCACATAACAAGTGGTCAATGTGCATTTCAAATATTAGCTACAAACCAGCGGTCTTGTAAACAAATAGCAGGGAAATTTTGTGGTTATGAACTAAGAAAAAAATCAGCTTTAACCATTGCTAGAATCCAGTATGACAATGACTTTGATGCTGCCTGAGGAGTATAGGAGTTAAGGACCAATATATCTGGAGCATACAAGGTGGAGAAGGCTATCTAGGAAGTAGGATGGGATGGATATCAATATGTGGTAAGAGATATTTGGGGAGAATTATAAATGGGTATATATTCCAGATAAGTGACTGAAATAAGACAAAGTGCCACATAGTTATAGCAAGAGAGGAAAAGTACAATCTACATGCAGGACTTACTGGTGTGATCCTCCCCAAACTGAAACCCTCCAGATATACTGGATAGCAATCTCCATCATCTAGCCCCATCACCATGGTCATTGATTTGGAGATTATATCACCTGTAGTTAGGGTTACCACACAGCTGCACAGGCAAAGGAGGACACAGCAGTTGAAAAGGAGAACAAATGGAAAAAGGACACACTAACTGTTTAACTTT